AGAACCATCGGAGGATGGCCCTCGGGACCTCAAGGAGCAGGGTTTAGGGCTTAGGGCTTAGGGTTTAGGGTTTGGGGTTTAGGGTTTAGGGTTCAGGGTTTCGTGTGGAATAATGTCGGGCCTTGAGAATTAGAGTAGGATTCCTTTAAGGGTTACTATACGGCTTACTGCAAGGGACATATAGGGGGGGGTTATCTGAATCGTGAGGGTGCCGCTTTTCCTTTGTTTTGACAGGGAAAAGGGGGAGCGGTCTTCATATTTTGAGTGCTACTCATTTTAACACTTCGGCTAAGTTGAAGACTTCAGGGCTTGGGGACTGCAAAGCAAACGCCGCGGAGGCTCAGACACGTCAGACGGATCGGTTCATGAAGGGTTTGGGATTTGGAACCCTCTTCTCACGAGCCCAGAACGCCCAAAGAACAGCCTAAAGAGAGCCCTACAGTACGTGCACAAAGCAACGTGAGCGATAATGCCAAAGTCATCACCGTCATACGAGCCTGCGCATGGTTTTGATCACGAACAGGGACCGGTCGGAATAATTAGGTCCTGATTCTGACCGTGGTCATGGCGCACACAGCAACCAGGCATAGCATTGAATGCAATAACAATAATAGTAATAATAATAATAATAGTAATAATAAAAATAATAATGCGACAGTGTTCAGAAATCAGAGCCCCTTAAGCCGCAACCCAGACATCAGGGTCCCAGCTCGGCGCAGCCCAGTGGTTCATCGCCATAAGCTCGTCCGACTCCATCTGTCGGGGCACTGGAGGCTTCGGGACTCGCGGACTTCAACCTGATTAAGAAAATCTGGGTTTAGGGTTTAGGGTTTAGGGTTTAGGGTTTAGGGTTTAGGGTTCAGGGTTTAGGTTTAGGGTTTAGGGTTTGGGGTTTAGGGTTTAGGGTTGGGGGCTCTTAATACAAGTATGAACCCTAAGATATTGGGGTTATAGGGCCAGGGTTTTTGAATCAGGTTCCTACATGAGGGTTAGGGAAGAAGGTTTTGAAGAAACTCCCAGGTCCAAGGAAGACGATTTCGCTCATTTCGAAAACTCAGGGTGTCGCTTCCGCAGGCTGAGGCGCTGGCATCAAGCTGCACGAAATGCGACTGAAAGGGCTGGAGGACTTTCACAGCTGCGTCCTCCAAGTTTTCAATGCTGCTGGAGAACATACCAAGGACAAAGGCACAGTGGCCCACCCTGCAGTAGTGCGGTGCCACCAATAACAGCGGTGCTACACATGAACTAGACACGGGAACTGTTGTCATACTACTCGCATCACCAAAAAATAAGTTCTTCGTGGTCTGATGACAGGAACTACTTCAAATCTCTCGAGTAGGGAATGTTCATCAAAATATGGTGCGGATACGTAGCAACAATCCTGAACTAGCATGTTAGGGCGCTTCTTTTCTTCCACGTATAACTTCCTATGTGAACCACCCTAAACTCTAAAACCCTAAAACCCTAAACCTATGGGAACCTCCAAGTAGGGCCTTCAAGGTCTACACCCTCAGAAGCTCCTCGGAGATGGCTGAGGGCACGAAGACGAGGAGATGCCGAAGCTCTGGCATCGTCGAGAAAGTCGTTCGCAAGATCTGGTGCAAGCTTCCGGTTTAGGACTGCGAGTTTGTGGCGCCGAGCGTTTGAGAATTAGTCTGAAGGGGTGTAGATTTGGGACTGATCCGGTGTGAGCCACACGACGAGTGATGTTGAAACCGCAAGCCCTGAATTTCCTCAAAGAGGAATTTGCCGCGAGCGTGGCCAAGGGCTTAGAATCAAAGACTACGCCTTACGCCGAGGGCTCCTGGGAAAAAAGGACAGCAGAGAGCAAGATGGCGGTTTCGGGCTTGGGGTTTAGGGTATGGGGGCCTGGAGAATCTGCCGAGGCTTCGGATAGATGTAGTCTCCGCCCATCCACGCAACTCCCCTTTTCAGAGGTTTTATGCTGGAGAGAACTGGAAGGAAAGAACCTGAATTCTGACTACACCAACAACCCGAAAACCCAAAACCCCACACTCCCACCCCAAACCCAAGATCTCACCAAAGCTTCCCAAAGTCCCAAAAGGCAATTATATTTGACCCAAGGCGAAGCTCCCAGAACTGGAGGGGCCTGAACAATTTATAACTAGCTTGCCAGTAGCTCCTTAATGATACGGGTACCCTTCTCCCCAAGGTCTGTTTTCAATAAGAGAACCCACAAAGAAAAAGGGCAACAGGGCACTCTTGGGGAATTCCAAGGAGTACTGACTTTTTTTGCTAAGGAGCCCCAAAGAATGACATTCAACCCTAAACTCTAAGCCCTGAAAGCCCTGAAAACCCTAAGCCCTATACCCTGAAAACTCTGAAAACCCCCGAAGCCCTCTTGGAAACCTCCGCCATGATCGCCGGGTCCGGCTCCACCAAGCAGATCGAGAACCTGAAGGCCAGAAGCGCTCTTAAAAAGCTCCTTATAAGTAGTGCTACTTAGCCGGAGAGCTGTCCTACCGCTAAGGGTCTCGCATGCAATTTCAACATGTCTTGCTATGTCGCAGTGTCACTGTGCTTTATCAGTGCTATCCTATCTTGGTTTGCATGTCAGAACTGAGCAACGATCCACAGTTGAAGTATTTTCAGCGATTGATACCCGTTTGCGATGCGTGCACAAACCAAGTATTTCTTGCCTGCTCTGCTTCAGTTTCCAACCGAATGTCGCCAAGTATCTTTGCAATATCTTTCTAGATCGTATCTTTCTAAGTCAAAACAGCATCCTTTTTGCAACCCTCGAAGGGGTCGGCACTACGTGCAATGCAGCATGGCTATGCTTTAACATTGCCGTACAACTACACAACCATTGCCATACATCTTACTCGCATAGTGCTCGCCGGTGTCTGCTGCATTGCAGCACTGCTTTCTCAAAATATCGATGTAAGCATTTTCATCTGTCGTAGTAAGTGATGTTGCCGCTTCTTGCTGCCTCGCGCTGTTGGTGACTGCTGGTGGCATCATGCATTGCTATTCGCTCGAAGTCTCAAGTTAGTATTGCTACTGTCAAACTGTTTCGAAGCTTTGGTCGCATCTCTGTCTTGAGATGTTTAGAATCGTCCTCTGCGTCTTGCTTTAGGATGAGCCTAGAACGCAGATCGGAATTCTTCTGTTGGCTGCACACTCTTCGTCAAACATGTCTTGAAAAGAACCCCCAAACCTGCCAATGGCAAGCCCCAAAAAGGTAAACTTAAGCTATGGGCTTCCCTGTCGAGGCACCACAGCGTGTTGGTGTTGTTCACATCCGGCTGCTGAAACGCATCCTGGCGTGACTGGAGCACCCTTTGAGTTCGCCCGATGCGCATCGTCATCGTGAATTCTGTTGACACGCATGACATGCTGCGCTCTGGCTCTGCAGCGTGTGCAGTCTGGTCTACTTTAGCAGCAGATGCACTTCGGTCTCACGAATTCATAGCACAAACTTAATCTGCATCCGCAAAGCCAGGGTACCCAGCTACCCCAAGATCCTGCATCCGAGACCAGGAAGGCAGCCGGAAAGGCAGGAACTCCCAGAAACCGAAACCTGAGAGGTTCCCCGAAAGTGTTTGAGGTTTCAGATCTGGCTTGGTTCCAGCTGCCTGGAACCACCGCTCCCAATCTGTGCCGCCCTCCTCCGAAAGGACGGAAATGGGCCGAGAGTGTATGGTGGAAAGCTTAGAGGTGTTCACGATAAGGGCTGTTAAAATGGATTTAGGGCTATGGGGTGTTAGAGTTTCGGCTTCCTTTAAGGATAGAAGGCGTACTTGAACGAAGGGCTCAAGAAAAGCGAGAGGGAAGCGGGAAGAGTTTGTGTGCGAGCTCGGAAGACCGAGCCGAACTGCCGAAGCAAAGCCTCCAGCCCCCTCTCAAATAGAAGAGGGTTTTGGATTTAGAGTTGCGGGCTGCCGGTTGAGGGCTCAGGCTTCAAGGTTCAGGGCTAGGTTTCAAGACATCCGATGTGGGGGTTGGGAGATACGCGATGCTTTAGAAATGGACGCACAAAGCCAGCGAAGCCTGCACCCAGCTCAAGCGATAGCCTAGTGCAGCGAGCCCTGAACCGCAGCTCATCTAGGCTCCTGTTGAGGAGTCTTATTTATCATAAGACCCCCAACCGGTTTTGAATTCAATCTAAGTTCTCCTAACGAGAACCCTCCACTGGCCGGACCGCACTTTTGCGTCTGCATCGGATTTCACGAAGGAAGCATCGTCGAGGGGGCCCGGCATGGAGCACACTGATCCAAGTGGGTCTAGGTGTTTCGGGTTTAGGATCTAAGAAGACGGTTAATTAATCGACACACACTATATCAACAACGGTGTCATAACAGGCAGAATCAACATCGTAAACAAACCCTAAAACCCAACCTCAAAAATCTACTCAGCGCCTAGAACTCCAGCACTCCCAATCCTAAATCTGAACACCATACAACAGCCCAAACCCCAGTAGCAGTGCAGTACTCCAGGCTTCAGCCGATCCTCTCCAAACTCTGCCCTCAGCTCTTTTTTCGTAGGGTTTAGGGTTTAGGGTTTAGGGTTTAGGGTTTAGGGTTTAGGGTTTAGGGTTTAGGGGGGGGACAGAGGGTTTAGAGCTCAGGCGTCAAAGCCTGGGTTTGGACGCGAAGGCAGAGTTCAGAGTTTTTTGGGGTCGCGGGCAGACAAGGGAGGCTCTGCCTAAACCCGAACCCTAAACCACAAGGTGTTGCATGAGGCCCCGACAGGGGAACCCCCATCCCTAATGCTTCAACCTCCAAAGCCTAAATGCTAAAGCCTAAAACCCTGGCATAAACCCTAAAACCCCCAAAACCCGAATCGAATCTCTATTGACTCTACTTGGAGGATCAGGGGACTTAGTAAGTAAGGTTATAAGTTATAAGTCCCCTAATTGGGGTTATAAGTATAGTTAGTTTAGTTATAGCCCTACATACTAAGCCCCATGACCCTTTAAGTATTGGCTCTAGTTGAACTGGACACCTCCAAGTCCGCTCAGCGGGATGCGCCGCATCTCACGGTGACTCCTCGTTTTCGGAGTCGTCCAGGTCCTAGAGGAAGGCTCTGGGTTGTTGGTTGTGGGAGTTCCGAGTTTGGGTTTTGGGATTTGTCTGGGCTTTTAGGTTTCAAGGCCCTAAGGTTGAAGTTTTGGGGTTTAGAGCCTCTGCGTGGTGTCGCGGCTTGAAGGTTTCAGGCCCTGGGTTTGGGGCTTGAAACTTTGAGGCTGTGGCTTCGGTGTCTTTATTGGTTGGGTCTTGGGTCTTTGGGGTTGCATGCCGTTGAACTGCAAGCCCCTAGGTGGTTTACTCAAATCCTGGAACCCTCAGGCCCAAAGCCCGACGCAATCTTAGACTCCAGGAGCCCCTCATCGTGGCCTCCAGCTTGTCGTACTGCTTTGGCGCCAAGTAGCGCGCCACCAGAAGAGGCATGGGCCAAGTGCCGACGACGCCTTACACACACAGCTTCATGGGTTCCGGGAAAGCCTGAAGGGCGGGTTTCGACTGCTCCCAAACCTGATGGAGACGGGAAAACTCAATGTGTCCAAACCTGTCTCCTCTCAGGACACCCTCGACGGCGTCCCGCTGCTGCATCCCACAAGCCCGACCAAGGCACTCAGCACAGCCATCAGCTCTTGTGGCCAGTGGGCGACGAGAACCAGATTCCTTGTTGCATGTGCAAGACACGCGTGCTTGCCACAGAAAGATGCCTGCATCAACGGCGGTGAAACCGTGTCAAGCAGCATCAAGAAGATCGAACACCACATCAGTGAACTCAACTACTCCGCACTGCGCGTGCAAGGAGAAAACCTAGCCCTTAAGCCCAGCTGCGTGCCGACACCGAATGTGATGATATGGAAGAGGACACCGTTGACGATACTGGCTGCTGCAAGACGCCTTCCACCACGCGAGATGGCATAGATGCCGAAGAGAAACATGAAAATGCTCCTTTGGTGCTGCTGATGCTCGCACAAACTGCTGTCCACACTTCAAAAGGCAAAAACACGCCAACGAGATTTCCGAATTTGCAGAACCACGGCGCTGGAAAGCACCAGGGTTGTAGCCCATGAAAAGGAAAGGAAGCAGGTGGCCCGCAAAAGCATTCACAACGCTCATGCCCCAGTTGACGATTCCTGCGATTTGGTGTGCTAACTTCAGCGTCACTGCTATCATCCTGACCACTTGAGCTCACGATGACATCATTGACGACGAAGACGATGATTATGGTGATGGTGATGGTATATACATGGTGATGGTGATGGTGGTGGTGGTGATGATGATGAGGATGACGATGACGATGACGATGACGATGACGATGACGATGATGATGACGATGACGATGAGGATGACGATGAGGATGATGATGATGATGATGATGATGATGATGCTGAGGATGATGATGATGGTGAGGATGAGGATGAGGATGAGGATGAAGATGAGGATGAGGATGAGGATGAGGATGAGGATGAAGATGAACATGACGACGATGATGAACATGATGATGCTGATGATGATGATGATGATGGTGAGGATGATGATGATGATGATGATGAGGAGGAGGAGGAGGACAAGGATGATGATGAGGAGGAGGAGGACAAGGACGATGAGGAGGAGGAGGAGGAGGACAAGGACGATGACGATGATGATGATAATGATGATGATGATGATGGTGATATTGATGTGATGGTCGATGAGCACCGTGATCACGCTCCACTACGTGTGCTTTGCTATGTTATTTGTCCCAGTTACCACTGGCAGTTGTCGTCGTGTTGGAATTCACCCGTAATCGGTGCTACCGCTCTAGGCTTGCTTCCAGTGGTGGTATAGGGTTTCATGGACTCTTACGAAACCCATGGCTAGCTGGCAGGGTCCTGCGAAAGCATAAGGTCCTCCCAAGTAGTGGGCAGAGACCATGGTTCCAACGAACCCTACCCACACCACCATGACGTTGACGTAAAGAGTTATGCGGGTATTCAGTGGGCAGCTCAAGTGTCCGATAGTTTCGCAACTCTGGAAGAGGAGGGCCCCGACACTGTGATTGAAGTTTGGGACGAAGGAATAGCGCCATCCGCGGAAGTCGTGGGCATGCTCCTCCGTCTGGTGCCAGCAGTAGAATGCCACCGGCAGCCATCCCAGGACATACGGGTTCTGAAGAGCTTGTCGGGGAGACTTACTCAAGGCCAAAGGCAGCAGGAAGAATATGGGACACAGAAACGTGCTGATGTAGGGCCAGTTGGCATCCAGCCATGGAGCACCTTTCAACATGGCTGGTCCCGAATCGGCAGTTGGAACTGGATTCGGAAAGGGGGTTGCCATGTCGACAGCCATTGCGCACACTAGGCGGGAACAGGGCTTCTGAGCCAATCCAGATCGAGGCTGCGATGCGACCCTTAAGGTTTCATCAGGGTACCACGGACGCCAATCTTCGGGCTCTCTGGCTTTCCTCAATCCTGGGATTGAAGAACATGCCTACCTCGGAGGGCTCATCCCTAGACAGAAAGAGAATGAAATCCGAACTACAACAGGCTCAGGAATCAAGAGTCATGGTTGAGGGCTTTGTGGTGGTGTGGCGCCCTATTGCTGAGCCCACGTGCCTCTGAGGCGGAGAGGTGGAGTGGCGTGTCCTTGCGACTACGCGCGCTTGTTTCAGTGGAGCAGGGCTACCGTACACTTATCAATTTTGGAAGGAGTCCTGTAGACGTAGGCCAAGGGTTTCTTCTTTTTGATCAAAGGGCTTAATTAAGGTTTGGTGCATGGGGCCTAGAGGGTCTCGGGTTGCGGTTTTCAGGGTTTCGGATTTAAGAAAAACATATCCTTCTGGGATCCGGTGTATTGCTTGCGCTTCCGCATGCCGTGTTTGTAAACTCCTTCCTGCTCCTGGGTGTGATCTGAGGAGCAGGATTACCGTCTAGGAGACCAGGGGTCTCGGGTTTGGGATACGTCGTAGCAGCTTGGGACTAAGGGCTCAAGAATCCTCTGATTGATTTTATTTCTACAATTCTCCCCAATTCACAAACCCCTCACCCTTAAGCCCTATTGTCATCTAAACCCGAGACACTGAAGGTTCCTCAAGCCCCAGGAGAAGAAGGCACTCAGGTCACCGCTCGTCCACCCGAAAGGTCTGCCAACGCTGGACTTTGCACCCAAAAAATCCCTGGAAGAACTAATAATGATTACCAGCTTAGGTAACCATCACACTTGCCATGCCATACCCTAAAGCTTTCAAAAGCAGAAGCACTTCACAGCTCTGAACCCGAAGCACCCTGGAACACCTCAAACTTCCTGAAACCCTGAACCCTGATCGGTTCACACAAATGTAGGGGCCGAAAGAATTAGAACAGTGTTTCTTGGGGGGTTCCTTATTACTTATTACAACTAAAGTATACTGGGCCCCAAAGGCCTTTTAAAATTATTAAGACACCTAGATTAAACCCTAAACCCTAAACCCTATTCAAACGATTAAGGCCCCGATGCTATGCTGGAGATCTCGCGTCCGAGTGCCCCGGCGTCCAAGACCGCGAAGCCAACGACGTGGCCCTCCTCGTCCTCCACGGTGACGGACATGAAAGAAGTCCTGCGGGTTCGGGCTCAGGATTTTCGTAGAGTTTGGGGTGTAGGGAGGCAGGAGGGGATTGAGGGGTTGCATGGCTGGCGATTGAAGAGTTGCATGTCGCGCTTTGAGGTGTAGGATTGAAGTAGCTTGTTAATTGTCAGGGAGACTAGGGTGTACGATTTTACGAACTAGCATGTAGATGTATGCATGCAGCTCCTCAAGTTAAGGGTTTAATGTGAGGGGTCCAAGTTTCACGATAAGACAGGGCTTCGTGGCGCTAACCCTGACCCCTACGGCCTGAACCAGAAACCCTAAGCGCAAATCTAGGGGCCTTTTATACTAAGAACAGGGTTTTGGGGGATGTATTACAGCATCATAAGGGCTCTAAGGCTTCTCGGCGTTCGCACGCAGGCTTGGCACTCTTTGGGTTTTTTGGACTCAGAAGCGGCTCAAAGAAGGCTTCGTCGCAAGTCTTGCACGAAACCTAAGTCACACCATCCCAAATCTTCAAGACGTATTCACGCCTGCCATCATTGAAAGCCACAAATTCCTGGACATGAGGAGTGCCTCCGACGTGTGTGGAAAACTGTCAGCTCCACCGCAAGAACTCCAACTGTCAATCCGAACACCCTCGTCTGCTAAGCGACCTGCAACAAAGCTCGTGGCACGGCTACCCTTTACTGGCACAAAGAAGCCAGCTCTTTTCCAAACCAAACCTCTGAAGGCTAAGACCAAAAGACTGGACTCGGAGGCCTCGAACCTCCTAACCCCGGTTCTGGCCGGGATCTGACCCGGGTAGACAGACTCTTAAACCAGATGAGTAGCCCTGCACCCGTTTTCGGATGTTCAGTTCTCCTAAGCTGAAACGGCAAAATTTACGAAAAGAAGGGGACCCAAAAACTGAACTTGAAGCAGTAGGGAACTGTTTGCAAGGACCCCGATAAGCAATCGGCGTTCCGAAACCCCCAACTTAAACCGTGCATCTGCTAAAATCTGCCTCGGCTTCTGGGGCTCCCACTCTACCAGGGACAGCAGGAACTTCACCCGGAGGTCTTGGTTGGTCAGGAAGCCTGCCAGGGGCCGAGAGGGGGCACTCCTTTTCTTGGGGATCCTCTTTGAATCCTTGTAGTACGAAGGTCCTAGTACAAATCTAGGATTTCGGGGTATAGAGGGGTTGACGGTTTAGGAATCCTGTTGGAGTCAATGTGGCGCAAGGGATCATAAAACTCTGGGTCAGGGGATCCGAGGCCTTAAGAGTTGGAGTAGGGTTTCGGGCTCAGAGTCTAACCTGGGGGGCTATTAATACTTAGAATAAGGTTTTGGGGCCCATTATATTATAATTATAACAAGGAACCCCCAAAATAGTATAGGTAATTATTCAGGCTCCTACATTAACACCAGGTGCAGGGAGCTTCATCACCTGGGGCTCCCTCAACTTCCGGATGCTTCGTGGTGAGGATCTCACCACTGGGGGATCGGCCTGTTGAGGTCCCCTCTGTTCTACAACTTCCGACATGTCCGAAACTACCCTTTGCCGTTGCGTAACATGAAGCAACCAATCCTAACGCCCTACCCCCTGCCTTAATATGCCTTAATCTCAACACACAGCCCCTACCGCGACTGTTCGGGCTTTGCTACTCAAATGCTCACGGCCCCCGACGTGTCAGCTGATGGGATTCTTCAGGCTTGCGACCTCACGCCCTGACCTCATAAATCGTAAAATCCCGATCTCTCCAGCAGCCCAAAACATTACGTTGGGGATGTATCATTGCTACGATCTACTATCATCTCAACCATCGCCGGTCCTTCCTCTCCCACGCGCCCCTTGCCCCGCCCCCGCGACCTTTGTCCACTGCGTGGAAGATGGCGAGGGCCTCCTTCAAAACAGGAAAAGCTTGCGGATCAGAAAAGGTTCGCTGCTTCTGGCTCGACTGCTCTCAGTTGGGCCAAATGCTGTAAAGCACGAGGTACCAGAAGCCGAAGTACACTTCTAAGGTATGGGATACTATGGGGCTCTCTGGGTGGGAACCGTGGGGGTTTCAGTTTCGGGCTTGGGTCACGGCTTGAGTGTTGAGGAGCCACAGGGCCTCATCACATCCAAGCTTCGATAAAGGCCTTCAAGTCTTGTGCTCCCGCCATCGGTTCTACAAGTATCTCATCTCGGTTGTTCTTATCTGACGCTTACAAGATCGAAACATCAGGATCCTTCATACACGCCAAGAGCCTCACCCGAAGCCCTAACAAACCAGAACATGCAGCGGCTATAGACCTGCTATTCTCGATCTGCAAGGGGTTTACGGGAGGAGCCCATATAGCGAAAGGCTTCGGGCTGAGGCCTGCAACAATGATGGCTGGAGAACGCTCGAACGCCCGCTACCGAAACCCTTGTTCCTTGAAGCCCAATGAAGGAAGCTGCCTACTAACCACCGGTTGTAGTTCAGGGATGTCCGAAACCTTTGGGGAAGAAATGGCAGCAAAGCGTCTGAGAAGTTGCCATCGCCATAGAGCCGGTCGTACCTTGGGCTAGGCCCCCCCCACTCAGCAATACTTGCAATGCATAGTAGGAATCTCGAAGGATACGAATTCTCAGGTCTAATGAAAAAACTAGGCTCCAGAGATCAGAGGTTGACGTGGGATTTACGGCTTCCAACACACTGATATGACTCTTCCTCCGCATCCTTGGTCTCCCCCTGTGTCTCCGTTGCTGTTCCTGCTCTCTCTGAATACGGCATGGCTACAATAATCAGGGCATTACTGTGTATCGCTTCCGGTTAGGGGTTTAGGGTTAGGGTTTAGGGTTTAGGGTTTCTATTGGCTTCCGCAGGCGGATGCAGGTGATCCGGGTAAAGGCCTTGGAGGCTTGGCTCCGGTTGAAAAGTTCGCATTCATTGCATTTGGGAAGCCTGACTTCGGGCTAGAAATGCAAAAGAATCAAACTCATTCAACTCTCTTCAACCTACAAGTATAGCTGGGACCCGTGGTGGGGACGCAAAAAGGGGTTCCGATTTCAACCAGCTTTGTCCTCACCACGTAGAACTCGGCAATTGATCTCCAGCAATCCGTACAAAGACCCCATGAGCAATGAACAAGCCAGGGATCCTAGTTCAAGGATGTTCTACGGGTTTCATGACTGTCGGGGCCAGCGTTCCTGAGCCCAGCACAGCGCATCGATGGTGTCCACATCATCAGGGTCGGCCCGCCTATACTCTCAAGGAAAGGCTGTCTAGGCCTGCTGTGGCAGGACCTCAAAAAGGGCTTAAGGCTAGGGGTCAGGGCTAGGGTTGCTCTGAACCCCTAAACTAAAGGTGCCGCGGGCTGTCTGAGAAGGCTTTTTTCCTTGAGGTCCGGCTCCTCCAACCTTTGGGCCTAAATCACCGAGCCCTGAGCCCTAAACCCCCATATGTCATAAACCCTAAAACTTATGTGCTGAACCTCACTCACTAAATCAAGAAGGCGATGCGCTCTTTGGCTGAGCCGGAGCTCAACCGCAAGTATCTCCAGTCTTGCACGGAAAGCGAAAAAGGCGCTTCAAGCCCCAAAGTCTCATGGATGTTCTCTCTCGGCTTAGGCTTCAGGTAAGAGTTCAGGGTTGAAGGGTTTGAGGCTTCAGGGCTTCTGTGCTTAGGTTTGCTGGTGCTGGTGCTGCTGCTGATGACGTTGACGATGACAATGACGAAGACGATGAAGAATAAGAAGAAGATGATGATGGTAGTGATGATGATGATGATGACAATGATGATGATGCCCGCGATGATGACGATGGTGATGGTGATGATGATGAGGATGATGATGATGAGGAGGAGGATGATGCTGGTGCTGGTGCTGATGCCGGTGCCAGTGCTGGTGCTGGTGCTGGTGCTGACCCGGCAGCTGGTGACGTAGATGATGCTGATGATGGTGGTGGTGATGAAAATGATCTGCTGATTCTGCTGTTGCTGAAGGTGCGGCCATAGAGGATGGTCCTGATAAGAATGCTGCTGATGATGATGGTGATGGTGGTGATGGTGACGAGGCTTCTGCTGATGATGAGAATGATGGTGAGGAGTTGATGACGATTGCAGTTGCGATGGTGATGGTGACAGTCGTGGCCATGGTGCTCAACCATCAACACCATCGTCATCGTCATCATGACCAACTATCTTAACCCCCTCCCTTCGCAAGAAGCCTCACCAGGTAGCTTTGCTCGACCGCCCCGCCGGCGGCCATGGCCCCCCGGTGGCCCAGGCCAGGGGAGACGCTGGAGCCAAAAGCCACATGCAGCAGGAGAAAAAGGAAATGTGTGGGGCGTGACTTGAGCTGGAACGAGCACTACCACTACCGCTACCACTGCTCTACTACTACTACTACTACTACTACTACTACTACTACTACTACCACTACCACCAAAACATGCAATGATAGTCAAATCGACAACGACAACAACAACAACAACAACAACAACAACAACAACAACAACAGCGATAATAAGAACGATAATAACAGTAGTAATAAGACTGACAATATTCATAACAATGACAGTAGGTAATAAGTTCTATGCCAGACCTATACTCCTGCTCTTGCTCCCGTTGTTACTACGGCTGCGGCTGCGGCTGCTGCTACTGCTGCTGCTACTGCTAGTGCGACTGCTGACAGTGCTACAGTCGCCATTACTGCTGCTGCTGCCGCTGCTGCTACTACTATACCACTACTACGACGGCGAGGAGTTGTGCTCCTTCTCTGAGGAACTTGCAAACGAGTTGAACGACGAAATCCCGAAGAACTCAGGCCACGAAGCACAGAATCACGCACGCTTTATTTGTCCAAGAAAATATTCAAGAGCCAGCCAAAGATGGTCGAAAGTCCGAATTTAAAGGAGTCCCACTACATGGCTAAAACCTCCAGCACGTGCAACAAGCATCGCAGGTTCTAGCGCTGTGTGTCAACTACGACGTCTCGAAGACCCACGTGTGCCCAGTTTTGAAAGCTCGCATTCTGCCGTGGCGGCCTTTGGCCAGCGTCTTCGCGGACAGGCAACGGGGCATTGGAGCTGTCTCAAGGCCAGCTGGCTGTCATACTGGAAGAATGGCCACATCTGTAATCACAAGCTGCCGCTGCTGCTGCTATTCTACTACGACGACTACCACTTCCACACTACGACGAGTTCTGCTTACTGCTGCTACAGCCATTGCCACTGCTCCTGCTAACAACTCTAATTGCTACTGCTGCTGCTACTACTATTA